TGCTCACGGGCAACATGCTTGCGCGCCACTCGGGCCTGTTTGGCGCGATTGTCTGCCAGGCGCCCCTCCTAGACACGCGCCTCCCCTGCGCCTCGCCTGAGCCTCGAATGAGCTTCGCTGCAGGTGCCGCTGCTCGACATGCGCCGCTTCCACAAGCTCCTCGCCGGGGCGAGCTGGATGGGCGAGTACGGCGACCCAGACACGGACGACTGGTCCTTCCTGCAGCGCTACTCGCCGTACCACAACCTGGACGAGGCCACCGCCTACCCGCCCATCCTCTTCACCACGTCGACGCGCGACGACCGAGTCCACCCCGGCCACGCGCGCAAGATGGTCCACAAGCTGCTTGAGCTAGGCAAGGGGCCGTCCACACACTACTACGAGAACATCGAGGGAGGGCACGGCGGCGCGGCGGACAACAAGCAGCGCGCCTTCATGTCGACCCTCGCCTACGCCTTCCTCGAGCGGACCCTCGCCGGCGCGGCCGCCGGAGGGAAGAAGGTGGAGCTGTGAGGCGCCCAGGGAGCGTGGAGGCGCGGGAGGAACACGCATGGCATGTGTCAAGAAAGAGGGGCATCAGGGATGGGTGGCCCAAGTGGCACGCCGGATTCGATCACATTGATCTATTTATCAAAACGAGTAACGAGGCTGCCCGTCGAGGGTGATTGTACGTGTTTTAGCTTACCGTGAGAAAATAGGTACTTCTAATGATATAAGGGTAACCCAGCGAAGCGCCGGACGGCACGCCACCAGCGGAAGTGCCTCCTCCTTAGCATGCCGCTCTCGGCGCAGAATGCAGAAAGCAGCCGATGCGCGGGCGCGCGGAGCTCGCCTCGACCTCGGCGGAGCTCGATGCCTCGACCTCGACGTCGGCCGATGCGCACGAAGCGCAGCGCCAGGCCCAAGCCGACGCCATCTGACACACGTGCGTCCGTCAGCGTCACCGTGTGTCTCACACACGCACACATGTTTGCGACACTGTTAGACACATGCGAGTCGCGCCGCGGGATTTTCTTTTTGCTTTTATCTATCTCACTTCTCACCTGAGTTACGTAATACTACACTGACCTCTCCTTCTCTTGCCAAAAACGAATGTCCTGCGTGAGCCCGAGACGCCTCGCACGAGAGCGAGGCGCGGCCGACTCAAGGCGACCGCCTACCTCTCTCCCCGCACCTCTCCTCTCTCCCCGCGCACCGCACACGCACCGCGGCTGAGAGCGACCAGCTACATGCCCTCGGCGGCGGCAGCTGAGAGCAGCAATAGGGTACACCACCGTCGCTCGCACGGGAGGGGCGAGAGGCGGCCTGCGGCGGCGGCCTGGCCGGGCACAGCGCCGCCGGAGCCAGAGCCGGGGCGGCAGCAGGAGGAGGGGAGGTGGCGGGCCGCGCGGCCAGCCCTCCCCCCGCCTCCAGCAGAGCGCCTCCAGCGACTCCTCCGCCCTCTCGCCCCCCCGCCCGCCCTCGCCTCCTCCGTCAGAACTCCTGCGTGGCTGTGAGCGGCCGCGACAGCG